TAGGAGCAAAGCTGAAGAAAGGAGAATGGAATCTATTAATTTTACATAATAATGATATGCATTCAAGATTTGTGGAAACAGACGCTAAACAAAATGAGTGTCCAGACGAAATTAAGGCAGAGAACAAATGCTATGGAGGAATGGCAAGAGTTGCGACAGTGTAAGCAAATTGATTTTATAATATCGATTTTTTTTTTTTAAATTATGTACATTTCATGTACATAGATTATATACATTAGGGCGGGTCGATTTGTATGGGTAAAAAAAATCGCATACTTTTTGGGTCATCAGAATCAGAATTATTTTAGAGGTATGGTTTCTTCAGCAAAGTATCTTATCTTAATCTCTAGTATCCGAAAATCATATGTGCCTAAGGGACTTTTAAATCGACCCGCCATAATATACATTCTTCTCAGTTCTTAATAACTATTATCATGTTATATGTTGAACTTCATTTAATGTTGCATTAAAATATCAAAAAGGTATTAATTGTTGACACGATGTGATAGATTTCAATTCTGTAGTATAATCTAAAGATTTATAATATTTCTATTTATTTTAAGGGTAAGGCGCGCAAGAAAAGATGCAAAAGAGGTGGTCCACCAGTTTTGTATTTAAATGCTGGTGACACATTTGCTGGGTCACCTTGGTTCATGGTGCATAAAGCACCATTAGTTGCATTAAGTATGAATCTCCTCCGGCCAGATGCTGCGGTAAAACTATAATTTAGATATTATAATAAAAATAAAATATTAATTAATATTCAGAATAAATTTAATTACTTCAGAGTCTCGGAAATCATGAATTTGATTTGGGTGCAAAAGGTTTAGAAACATATTTAAATTTAACTTATGGATATCCGGTAGTTGCTGCTAATATCGACGTTTCTGAAGACCTGGATTATTAAAGCAAAGATCTTTAAAGAGATCTGTGGTATATAGGGTAAATGGACGTTTAATTGGAATTATAGGATATGTATTACCTGATACTAAACTAATGGCGATTGCGAATAATATAACATTTAACGATGAAATTAAAACAATTAAAAGAGAAGCTGGAATACTGAAAAGAGGAGGTGTCAAAATATTGATAGCCTTGGGCCATTCTGGTCATAACATGGACAAAAAAATTGCTGCAGAAGTCAAAGACATTGACATCGTTGTTGGTGGTCATTCAAACACATTTCTTTGGAATGGTAAAGAACCTGACAGTGAGCAACCAAAAGGTGAATATCCTGTACAAGTTAAGCAAAATGTATCAAGTAAAGTTGTACCAGTAGTTCAAGCATATGCACATACTAATATATTGGAAGAGATTAATGGTAACGTTCAGTAAATGTGGTAAAGTTATCAGAAGTTGCGGACAACCTCTGTTGCTAGATAATAAAATACCACAGGCTTTGGATGTGGTTGAATTTATGAAAATTTATAAAGGTCCTGTAGACAAATTAGTAAATCAAGTTGTGGGTTATAGTATTCCTTTACTAGTAAATGGATGCAGGCAAAAAGAGTGCGACATAGGAAAAGTAGTAACGCAAGCTATGTTACAAGCTGCTTATAAATATTTAGGAATAAATAGTATGATAGAAATTGATAATAATCATAAACCAAAAAAGAATAAAACATTTGATTTAATTGTTCTACAAAATGCTGGAGGAATCAGATCCAATCTGATGCCATATGAAAACAGTACAGTTATTTATGGAATGTTAATGTCGGTGATGCCTTATGAGAGTACTTTATTTAAGTGTGAAATAACAGGCAAACAATTAAAAGCAATGCTAGAATGGGGTGTAACTAGGTTAGTACCATTGTATTATACAGAGACTAATATAATTAATTTGCTTTACATAAACGAATACGGAATTGAATTCTATTTATCGATTAATTGCAGATACACAGTGAACAATGAGCGAGGTGAATTTCCACAAGTGGCAAATATAAATGTTACATACGATCTTACAAAAGATAATGGCAGTCGTGTTATTGATTTAAAAGTAAAATTGGCTCAGTGCGGAGTACGCAACTTATGAAGAAACTACCGTATATACATTAATAACTAGTTCATATGTTCCCAAGGAGGTGATGGATATAGTGTTTTGCTAGAATCTACTGTCAATAAAACAAACATGGGCATTCTAGACACCAGAGCTCTTGCAGATTATTTTGAGAAACAAAATATAACTGAAAAGTTTCTAAAAGGCTTACCACCGATATTATTATTGCAAAAGAATATGTTGCTAAAACTTAATAGAACATAAATATTGCATTTTTTACTTTATCCTTTTCTCTTTGAACATCACCTTTGTCACTGTCACTGCTATTTGATAATAAATTCTATTGAACTTACATAAATTATTTCTAATATAATAAAGTAATTTGAATTATTATATTATATTATTTTATCAACAACATTTTATGCAATAACAATTGATTGAAAAGGATATAATGGTTTACATTTATTATCGGTATAAAATATTTGATTAACATGTCAAATCGCAATTTTCAAAAATGAATATAATATTCTTAAATTTGCCTAAAGCACATAAATAAATTTTATTTTTTATTTAATCATGGCGGTCAAGGCGGTCATAGATTTCGGTCAAGGCTACATTTTATTGAAATATGTTGAATTACTACAATATTTTATAACTTTCATATATGAAACAGATTGCACTAAATCCTTATACTTGTAGAATAGATTGAAATCTATATAATAAACAAGCATTATTAAATAAATTATAAATGTATATTATTCAATAATGCTTAAAAATATATTAAATTATGCTTATATTTTTTTAAAAAATATTGTGCATTCATCATTAACAGTTCAAATAGATTTATTTCATCAAAGCAGAAAGAATATACTGTGTAAGAATTCTATAATAATGAATATTCTATCAAAAAAATCACAGACTAACAAGTCACCATCTATGCTTGAAAAATGCCCAATAATCTGATCAAAATTCGAAGCGTAAATGCGTTGCAGTGATAGATTTATATTTAACTTCCCGTAGGGTAGTTGTAATAATAGGCCGAAAATCAAAATGAAAATTTTTGCATATCTTCACGTTTCAGAGGTTGCTGAACATTTTAGCATACCTCAGAAAAAATGGATGTGTGTGTGTTTTGTGTGTCCGCATTTTTTTCGTCCACGTTTTCGGGCGCACGGATCAACTGATTTGAATGGTTCAAAAATGTGCTGGTTAGTTTTTTGGCAAAAGCAGGTCTAGCCGTTACGGAGAAACAGAGCAAAGAGTGCAGAAAATACAAATCAAGTTTTTGAAAGAACGGCGTATCCGATTTGAATGATCAATTCAATTCGTTATGATTAGGAGAAGTGGTGATTAGTTTTTGGCAAAAGCAGGTACAGCCATTTTGGAGATACAGAGCTAAATGTATAAAAAATGGCAGTTTTTGATAGAACTAAACGTCCGATTTGAATGATTGAAAGAACTTTCTGTTTGTTTTTTGTATATCGAAAATAATTCAGATTTTGATTTTAATTCTGACTATAGTTCTAAAGCTCACTTATATACTTTAAACAAATAATTTTAAATTTGCAATTCCGTTTATATAATTCTTATAAATATTAAACATTGCTACAGTATTTATAATAATCTATTTTCAGCCGAAAACATTTAATATACCTCGAACTATTTGTTACGGTATGGAAAGTTCCAGCAATTTGCCTTAATGTACGATGCTATACACCACTAGTTATAGTTTTATTTAAGTTTGTTCTTAATTATATTTACCATAAAATAATACCGAAAACTAACATTTGTTCATTCACCTGTAATAATTATAGAAACTGAATAACTGAAAAAATCGCTACCGAAAATCTTCACTGAAAACACATGCCGGGTATACCTTTTACGTATAACATAAAAACCCTTTAACATCAAATTGACAATATCTTCACACATCGTAAACCTTCCTTCACAGGAACATATAAAACGCATTTAGAATTTAAACGCAAGGCGATAAAAAGATTTGTTATTTATCCTCAGAAATTTCTATTCTTATTTCACAGGGTTAAGTTGAGCGTTAATAATAATTTGTTGGCTATAAAAAAATCATCGGCCGATTTCTAACACTTTCGTTGTATCAAAAAACTCATTGTTGAATCGGTGAATATAATCGTTCTTATAAGGATTATAAGACGATCTGAAGGTAATCGGTAATCTTTAACTTCGGACGCTTTTATACGACAAAAAATAAAGTACAATGTAAAATGGTGATGGATTCGTTTGATGCAAGGGTAAATATTTGGCGAGGATCTGATATAAAAAAGCTACATAGGAATTGCAACATGTGAAATGAAAATAGTGTGGGTGATACAAGGAATATAGATTCTCCTAATAGAAACTAAAATCACAAACATTGATGTATGCATTGAAGATTACGTTTTCCATGATTATTCTTATGATAAAATTATATAATTACAGTAGAACCTCCTTATTCGCGGGGGATGCGTTCCGTAAAAATGCCGCGAATAAAGAATCCGCAAATACAGGATGGCATTTTGTATGGGATTACGGGAATACGTTCCAAGATGACAAATAATCCGCAAATATTGAAAAATCCGCAAATACAGGATGGCATTTTATATGGGATTATAGGGTATACGTTCCAAGGTGTCAAAATAATGAAATGTACATACATAAAAAACTATATTTTTACTTATATTTATAAATGCATTAGATTAATTACTTTATATATTTAATTAATTATATTATACATTAAACATTTTGATCATTTTTGTTCAGAAATAGGCAAAGATTTGAAAAACTTTGTAATTTTTTCTTGCTTGGTAGTTTTCAAGAGTTTCTCCAATTCAGACTGATAACGGCAGTCACATCTGCAATTTGCCTCTTAAAGAGAATACTTCTCTCCATAGATGGATCAATGTTCATAAAAAAATCACACAGATCATTTTTAAACCTTCACTGAGACTCTTTAAATTAAATGTTTTCAGTGTACGTTGAAGCCTCTTCTTCATTGGGTTGTGAATTTAACATTTCTTCCAAGTCGGTTTCAGACAAATCATTATCACGTGATTCAAGCAATTAGGTCTGTTAGCACGTGTTACTCAATCACAATATTTGCTACGAATGAGTAAAATGAAGAAATAAAGCATGCATAGCAGCATTTACCACAGAAACGAACAATATTAACCCTTTCGACTCGAATGCCGCCGGTCCGGCGGCAAAATTAATATATATCTCGAAATTCGCGAGTGGAAAGTGTTAAAGCATACATATATGATTCATTCATTTTCTGTTTGCTTACTTGATCAAAAACGCTGATAACGGAGAGGACGGCGAACGCAACGCAATTATATAGGTCAAAAAGACGGCATTTACAGAGGATATTGGATTTCATATATACACTGGAATCCGCGAATAACGAAATTTCTAGCCGCGAATAGCGAAAACGCGAATGAAGAAGCCGCGAATAAGGAGGTTCTACTGTATTTGAAAAAAATAGTCTGAAATGATAAATTAATAACAAATTTCATATAATATTAGTACATATTCCTATATAGCACAACAACCATCATGTAAAAATATTGAATATTTAATTTCAGGCCTTTATCAAGCTTATACACATGATCAAGTCATATAAAAATTTTATAAGGGTTATACAAATTTTATATAATGTTTATATAATATTCGGAAGTAATTATAGTTATAATTTTTAAATTTATTGAAAGCGCTCACACCAACCATCATATAATAATGTAGAATATTTAATTACATGTTCTTATTAAGCTTATTCATATGATCAAGTCATATTATTGTTTGAAAACGCCGATACAAATATTATATAATATCCGGAAGAAATTAGTTACATTTAACTTCCCGTAGGGTAAGTTAGAGTAATAAGCCGAACATCGAAATTGAAATTTTTTGCATATCTTCACGTTTTAGAGGATTCTGAATATTTTGGCATACCTAAAAAATGAATGTGTGTGTGTGTTTTGTATGTCCGCAATTTTTCTTCCATGTTTTCGGGCGCACGGATCAACCGATTTGAATGGTTCAAAAAACATTTGATAGGGAGATGTGCTGATTAGTTTTTGCCAAAGGCAGGCCTAGCCGTTACTGAGATATGGAGCAAAGAGTGCAGAAAATACAAATCGAGTTTTTGAGAGAACTGAGTATCTAATTTGAATGATCCAAAAAATATTCAATTTGTATTGGTAGGGTAGGTGGTGATTAGTAGTAGGGCGAAGTGGTGATTAGTTTTTGGCAAAGACAGGTCCAGCCATTTCGAAGATACAGAGACAAATGTACAAAAAAATGGCAGTTTTCAAGAGAACTAAGCATCCGATTTGGATGATTCAAGAAACTTTCTGCTGACATTTTGTCTTAAAGAAAGTTGCATGAACATTCTGATATGTGTAAAAAATGAGATATAGCTACTTTTATAATTGTGATAACTGAATTATGAAACCAGCCCAATATTCCTGACATTGATAAATTTTTATAATTAAATCACTTTTCGTAGTATTTTAAGATGTTCGTTAAGATCATGAACTCTATCATCATATAATGCAAGTAAGAACCGTCAAAGAATGCAACAGTTATAATTATAGAGAAATGGCCCAGCCAAACATTACCAAAAAATAATCATCAGGTTCAAATTTTTTTTGAGAAAATATAGAGGAAAATTTTACATTTCTGCAAACTCTAAAAAAATGACTTGCGCACTTGTTTTGCAAAAATTAATTAATGCAAGTCTTTCAAATTTTCAAATGTTTTTAAAATTTGTAAAATCTGTGCACCCCCGTTTTGGGGAAAATATCGAAATTTTTGACTCACGCACATACATTTCATATACTTTTATCAATTTTGCTGTCAAACTTTAAAAAAAGACTCTAAGAATTCATAGTCACTTGATAGTCACGTTCAGAATGACGAAATGTCGAAATATCATCAACACCTAATTAATAATCAGCGGATTATCTGGTGAATACATGAATTTCTCCTTCAGGAAGTTAATAAATGACAGCGGTAAGGTAATTTAATAGAGCAAGCAACTGTTAGCTTCATAAAAGTAGTAAATTAAGAAAATCTATTATGAAAATATTGTTTTCAACACATTATGATACTAGATACTATCATATTAAAATTGAATATATTATCTACCAAAAAATTGAAATTAGTTACGTGTTTTTACTACGTTGTATATAACTTGAAAATTGATAAATCGTTTCAAGAATTTGTATAAAAATATCTTTTTTGTAAAAATG